AATTTATTTGTAAGATGTATATAAAGCATATATATATTACTAATGCTGCAAGCCAAACCACTATCCAAACTGCAGAGCTAAAGATTTCAGGGAAGTTTCATCTTTGTGCAAAAAATATATTAGTCTGGACTCCATCTATTTGCAAACTCAAACGTAATTGCAATTACAAATACTGATTCTGAAAAGAATTGGACCAGTTTTGTACAGGGTTATAAAGTGACTGTTTATAATCAGGTTCCCCAGAAAGACCTGTCTCTTTATGGAGTGTGGTGTGGAAAAAAAAAAAAAAAAGGTCGCAAGAGCAGTCTTTGACTTGCCAAGCTTTTGTTGCTGATAAAATGCTCCTGTTTGGTTCCCCAGCAAATCTGGCCCTGGCTCTGGAGGTGTGGGGAGAGGAGGAAAAATGTGTAATTTCTGTATAAATTTTTCATGGTTTACGAAAAAATACTTGGAGCAGCAAATGGTATGTTGAATAGCACAATGGTGAATCTCCAAGGACCTAGTAAAGAGTCAGGGAGTAAAGATGACAATTTGTTTGGGGTTTGCGTTCTAATTTAAGCCCAGTGATTGGACACGATGCTGAAGACATCAGTCCCATTTGTACATGTGTCTTAGCTTGTCTATGTCGATTTTATCTGTTCATAGGATGCAGAATTCAGGGATTTTCTCATATTGACACAGAATTGTTAAATAGGATTGCCGTATTAGAAAACTATCAAAAATGTATGGATCTGGGGAATGGTCTCACATTAATTTAGAACTAAATTTTGCTAGAGGTAACATTTCCCTGTCATCTTTTTTAAAACGTTGTACCCTCCTTTTCCCTAAGAGAGATATCTTTGCATTCCTCTACTTTCAGCACAGTGCACCTTGATGTGCAGTATCACATCCCTGCAGCGTGTCTTAACTGCACGCTTCTTAGAGCATGTATTCGCTAAGCCTCAGAATTATTAAACATGTAAAATTCCCATAGGACTCCATTATGTGTAATTAACAGATAAACTGTCATCAGAATCAATAAAACGTGCTAAATGATCCAAACTTGTATATAATTAAGTGTCTGTTTTAGAGCAGGAGCTGTAACTTTTTTTTTTTTTTCTTTTCAATTTGCACATTTGTTTTGACAATAGAAGCTGGAACATTTCTGTTAACCTGTTACTTACTGGTTTGTGTTTGGGTTTACATGTTTGTGTTTGAAAAGAAAAGGGTGTTTACTGCATGGCCTAATTATCTAAGAGAAATAGTTATATGTCAGCTTTTAGGAAATTAATCTTAGATGCATCTTAATTCTCTGAATGTAATTCAGGGATTTGAAGCATGTTCAAAAACTGATGTTATCAGTGGGGTAAAATGTGAGGCTCTGTGAAAATACTGATCCAGGGCATCAGGCTGCCTGATATGGGGCTTGGAAACGATAATTAAAATGGGTTTATCACCATCCAACTCCTCAGTCATTGTTCTGTCTAGGAGCAGGAGCTCTTTTCCAAAACGAAAAATGAAAAAGCAAAGCAGAATTTTCAAAGATCTATTTTAATAATACCAGGTCCCAGTTTCAGCCTGAGCTAAGCTTTCAGAGCCAGGCCTCTCCCTATGACTTGTTACCCCCTCCCAGCGGTTATATTTTCATACAGTGTTTAATTGGCTCTGTAAGTCCATCGACCCTCCAAATTTTGGTAGCTGATAAGGGCTGTTTGGTGGCCTCTTTCACCTATGGCTGTTCTTCCTTACTTGCAGCCACCTCATTTTGGACCATATCAGGGGTTTTTTGGCATTCATGAGTACATAAAAGTCAGAGAATTAGGGCTGCTTGTCCAAAGTCATCTCAGCATGGTCCAGTAGCTGCATGTTCTCAGGGACATCTTCCCTTTCTGTAACTATGCTGTTGAGGGTTTTACAGTTATTTCAGTTAGATCTTTTCTTTTTATTTCACACTTCCATTGCTTTAATCTTTCCAGGTCATGTAGCAGTTTAGTTTAGTTCCTGATGTGTATTGTATGTAGGCTTGCCACTCAATACTTACACCACCAAAACATCTCACCTGGAAAGGTACAGGCCGAGGTGCTTACTTTGAGTGATTTAAAAAAAATGCAAAACCCCAACGATAACAAGATAAACCACCCTCTGAGTGGGTGGGAGAGAAGGATTACACCTTGTAGGAAATGTCAGCTCCACTGAACAAAAGCTGTTCAGGAACATACTAAATGTTGCCTGTCTGTCTGAATATGCCTGAGGGACAAAAAAGTTGCTAAACCTATCAGGAAATCACATCAAACCCATTTTATTTGTGTCAGTGCAGTGGTCCTAATCCTGCGGTTAGTGGCTCTGAGTAGGGTGTAACGACTGTGGCTTCCAACTGCTCAGCCTTGGAGCCTGACACAGAATTTTACCAAGCTTTTCCATAGTTGGGCAGTCATTCTTGCTTCCTCAGCAAAATGCAGACCTCAGTTCATACTGCCCTTTTAGCGCTATTGTTTCTTCAAAGCAGTAACTGTAAGAGACGGTTTATGGAGCAGCGAGGCTGTTTTACTTGTTTGGGAAGGATTATTTACACAAGAGTTAATTACATATTTGTGGTTCGACAGTTATCATCTTCCTTCAGTGTGAAAGATGATGGACAGAACCAGTGGAAATGTCTAGCATCCATAGCTTTATCTGACTTGTGGCACATCAGTCTGAAACCTCCTGTTGCTCCTTTGTTTTGCAGACTCGATGCACATAGAGGATGTTGAAGCAGTGCAGAAACTTCAGGATGTCTTACATGAGGCTCTGCAGGATTATGAGGCCGGGCAGCACATGGAAGACCCACGTCGTGCAGGCAAGATGTTGATGACTCTCCCACTTCTAAGGCAAACCTCTACCAAGGCTGTGCAGCATTTCTACAACATCAAACTGGAAGGCAAAGTCCCCATGCACAAACTTTTTTTGGAAATGCTGGAGGCCAAGGTCTGACTAAAGCATCATGGGCTTCCCCATCATGCACGTTTTAAAAAAACAAAAAAAAAAAGAAAAAAAAAGAAAAAAAAAGGGAAAATAAACAGGATAATAATGGCAAAGAAACTTAGTGTTTAATTAAGGAAAAAATGACTGCACTGATATTTAGCAGCAAGACTGTGAAGCAGCTTTCAACTTTTTCTTCTGTGTCTTTCTGATGCAGTTTTTCTTTCCTTTTCCTTTTCTCTCTTTTCTTTTCTGTTCTTTCCTTTCCTTTTTCCTTTTCTCTTTTTCCTTTGCTGCTGAACTTTTTAAAAGAGGTCTCTAATTGAAGAGAGATGGAAGCCAGGCCTGCCAAAGGATGGAAATCCATAATATGGATGCCAGTGAACTTATTATGAACCATAATGTCCCCAATGACAAAGGAATCAAAGAGAGAACCACCGTACCTAGCAGTACAGTACAACACGATGAACTGACTGAATGCAGTATTAGATTTCATAGGAGCAGTCTCTAATTAGACGACTAAGCGACGATGCATCGGCTGCTTCTTATCATTGCATTTTCCATCTAGATCAGTTACAGCCATTTGATTCCTTAATTGTTTTTTCAAGTCTTCCAGATATTTCTTAGGTTAGCTACAATGTAACTTTTTCAGGGAATAGTTTAAGCTTTATTCATTCATGCAATACTAAAGAGAAAGAAATACTGCATTTTTGTGCTGGCTTGAACAATGATGAACAATAATGAAGGACAAATGAATCCTGAAGGAAGATTTTTTTAAATGTTTTGTTTCTTCTTACTAACGGAGATTTTTTTGTACCAGCTTTACCAGTTTTCAGCCATTTATTAATGTGGGAATTTATCTTACTAAAGCAATAGTTGAAGGGAAGGTGCATATTATCACGGATGCAATTTATGTTGTGTGCCAGTCTGATCCAAAACATCCAGTTTCTTAACATGAGCTCCAGTTTATAACTAAATGTTCACTGACTCAAAGGATTAGATTACACCTACAGTATATCCGAGTAGTCTAACATATAAATACTCCATGTCAAATACCAATCTGTATCGGTGTTAGGAGACAGCGACTGTACAAAGGTACGGTTGCTACGTGATTTCTAACTGCTTCAGTTGCAAATGAACAAGATACTGCCTGTTTGCAAAGTTGTAACCTCACACGCAGAAAACCCTATGAACCAATAGTAGCTTAGAGGCAATAAGGCAAATGCCGACATTTGCAAAATTAAGAAATCAGAGTAGTAGACTTCTGACCAAATTGAAGAATTTAACACTTCTATACCTTATTTATTGATTTAGATTTTATTTTGTAAATGGCAATCTTTAACAAGTAGCTAAACCAGTATATCTGCTTTTCAACCAGTATTGTCACAGCATGAAAGTCAGTCAGTTTCAAGACTGTTACGAGGTGTAATCTAATGTATAAACCAATTAGATGCCCCCAGAAAACTACAGTCGCTAAATAACCAATAAACAATAACCTTCATCAAATGCTATACCAATGTACCAGTGTTAGTAGCTGCTCCCTGTACTATGTGAACATCCTTATTCTATGTACACAGATGTAATTAAAATTGTAATCCTAACAAACAAAAGAAATGTAGTTCAGCTTTTCAATGTTTCATGTTTGCTGTGCTTTTCTGAATTTTTATGTTGCATTCAAAGACTGTTGTCTTGTTCTTCTTGTGGTGTTTGGATTCTTGTGGTGTGTGCTTATAGACACAGGGTAGAATTAGAGACAATATTGGATGTACAATTCCTCAGGAGATTACAGTAGTATATTCTATTCCTTACCAGTAATAAGGTTCTTCCTAGTAATAAATAAGAGATTGAAACTCCAAACAAATACTCATTATGAACAGATACACATTGAAATCATAATATTTTCAAAACAAGGGATAATTTCTGTAACAGTTTATTATAGAATACCAATGTATAGCTTAGAAATAAAACTTTGAATATTTCAAGATTATAGATAAGTCTAATTTTTAAACGCTGTAAATATAGCTTTTACTCAATCATCTCTCAGATGTTGTTATTAACTCGCTCTGTGTTGTTGCAAAACTTTTTTGGTGCGGACAAGTTTCCAAAACTATTGCTACGTTGTGTGCTTTAAACAAAATAACAATGGGCTGATGCTCCATCGGCCTCGTGCTAGGAAAAAAGAAAAAAAAACTGTGTATCTATCATTAGCTATATGGGACTATATTGTAGATTGTGTTTTCTCAGTAGAGAAGTGACTGTAGTGTGATTCTAGGTAAATCATCATTAGCAATTCATTCAGATGGTCAATAACTTGAAATTTATAGCTGTGATAGGGAGTTCAGAAATTGGCACATCCCTTTTGAAAAATGTCAAAAAAAAAAAAATACAACTCCTGGGAAAAAGGTGCTGATTCTATAAGATTATTTATATATGTAAGAGTGCAAAAAAAAAAAAAAAAAGTTTATTTTCCAGAAAGTTTGTGCAGGGTTTAAGTTGCTACTGTTCAAGTACACTATATATATATAAATATATAATATAAATATTGTTTTTGCTGTATCACATTAAAGAACTTGGGCTTCAGGGTCAAAAGCCAATCGACTAGAAGAACACACAAAAAAAATGGAGATGTGTTAAAGGCACACGGTGCAAATTTTAGTTTTCCTTTTCTGTAATTTTTTGGAGCTGCAAAAGAACAAGTATCTCAAGACTGTAAAAGCATTACCTGAAACATAGCTAAAAGAACTGCACGGGCTTTATAATGTTGTTCATCTTAAACCTTGCTGGAGAAGAGTTCTTTCAAGACCACTTACTTAATGTGAAGTGTTGGGAAAATTTCAAAGGGTGTATGTTTTAGCCATAACAATTTAATTTCTATTTTTGCTTCATTTTTTAATTTTTTTCTTATTTAAAGCAATATGATTGTGTAACCTCCCAGAAGTTACACATTTGTTTCAATCAGATCAGATTGTTGTATTTATTCCACTATTTTGCATTTAAATGATAACATAAAAAGATATAAAAAATTAAAACTGCTATTTTTCTTATAGAAGAGAAAATGGGTGTTGGTGATTGTATTTTAATTATTTAAGCGTCTCTGTTTACCTGCCTAGGAAAACATTTTATGGCAGTCTTATCGTGCAAAGATCGCAAAAGGACAAAAAAAATTAAACTGCTTATAATAATCCAGGAGTTGCATAATAGCCAGTAGTTAAAAACCGAAACAAAACAACAAATAAAAACAAACATGTCTATAGCTGTAGATGGGCTTCACATCTGTATAGCAATCAACTGTATATTTTTGTGATGTGTATCATACCGTGTGCTCCAACCAATGTCCATTTGTGTAAATGTATTTATTTTATATTGTATATATTGTTAAATGCAAAAAGGAGATATGATTCTGTAACTCCAATCAGTTCAGATGTGTAACTCAAATTATTATGCCTTTCAGGATGATGGTAGAGCAATATTAAACAAGCTTCCACTTTTGATTGCTTTTATTTTATTTTTTGTGTTGTGGGCTTTTTTTGGTTTTATTTTCTTTTTCAGAGGAGGAAACGGAGCAATTAGCATTACCTTTTGTTACTTGCATTCAAAGAGGAGCCAGCCTCATCCTTTCTCCCTTAAAGTACAATATGAGTGTAAATAAATGCTATATAAAGCCTTGTCAGAATGAATTCCAGTGTGGTACAAGACATTTTGCATACTCTTAAATATGCAAAATGTCTCATAGCACATTAGAATTCAGGCTGACAGGCCTTTATATAGCACTTATTTAATCTTAAAGCATCTCCACATCAACCTGCATTACTCAAAATCATTGCCTCTCTGTCAATGTCATAAAAGAAAACTTTCCCACTATTTTAAGATCACATTAATATAATCTAGAAGTACTTATTTGCTTTCTCCATCAACAACCAAGTCTATCGTTCACTCTCTGCTGCAGGAGACTCCTTTTATGTGTTCTGGGTTAAAAAAAATTAATAAAATCATTAAAAATCTGTATTATTTGATCCACCTTTTCTGAATGGAAGCAAATAGCCACCGGAGCGATCATATAATGGGTGTTAATGAAGAGCACTGATAAATCCTTCAGATCCCGGGGGGTTAAGCAGCAGGTTGCAAACTGGCAGTAAGTGGCTCTCAGCCTTGTACCTCTGCAAGGCAGCAGCCCCCGTGGCGGGGGGTCAGCCCCTCTGTCCCACAGACCCTCCAGGAGCCACGACAGAAGTGCTAATGTGTGCTTTTCTTGCTTTTTAGCCTAAGTTGATAGGAGCAGGTCGTCGTGTTTGCCAACGTCTTTCTCACCTTTGCTGCTGGCCGTTCTCTGGAGGTTCTGGCTGATGGTGCAAAGGCAGCTGAGCAGAACGATGGTGCTGGGGGGCAGGAGCTGGTGCACACAAGCTACCAGGGCAGCACCAGGGGCTCTCTGTGCTCTGCAGTCTTTCAGTAGCAATATTCTTTGAAATGGGAGGGCAGCTCTTCCCTGCTTCCAGTACCTTTGGGTTTGCACTATCCTAGGAAATGGGGGGAGGGAGGCAAGTGGCAGAACAATAGCAAGATGACCTGTGTGGGCTCTTTGATGGAGGTCAGAATTGGGTTTTGGTGGGGACACTCCGGTGTAGGTAGGTGTCCATGCACACATGCACAGAACTGGTTCTGCCCCTGCTTTTTTTAATGTTCGGATTTTGAATTATTGCAAAATATCTCTTCAAAGGAAAATGTAATACTGCAGCATAGCTTAAAAGAGAAAAAGGTAGTCTTTCACATTTTCACACACAAAGCAGGAAAAAAAAGGAAAGCAGTGATACTCCTAGTCTTCCTCACCATGCTAAGCATTGGTTAAAGTTTTAACATACAATTAAAAAATGTAATTAATGTTTCTGTACCATTTTTCATGAGACGATCACAAAGCACTATACAATCATAAAGCTGGCATCACAGAAGATAAAATAGTGGGAACTCAGAGATGCAGCCACTTCTAGGGACACAGCTCTGCCAAGTTGTTAGTATTTTTTTTCTCTGACTTCTGACACTGTTTCTAAAGTAAAGCCAGGACGGGTACAGAAATCCACTGAAAATGTTTGAGTGGGCAGAAATGTTTCAGTAGGCATTTGTGGGGAATTTGGCTAGGAGCACAAACCTCTCTGAACTATGAAAATAGCTAAATCTTCAAAGGAAAAAAAAAACACAACAAAAACGGGGCTGGGGTTGTGTGGTGGTGGTGCTGGTGCAGTATCATTTGTAGGTTGACCAACACTTCCTGCTTCAGCTCTCAACTGCTGCAGCCCCAGCCTGCAGCTGTGGCAACACCGCTTGGCCAAAATAAGGAGCTGGGCAAAGCAGCAGGTCTTCCCCTTGTGGATGTGGCTTGGCTCAGCAAAACTAGATTTAGACTGACAAGGTTTACATCTCTCTTCCCCTCCCCTGCTCCCTACCTCCCCAGTAAAAGAAGCCATCCCAGTGTCAGAGCCTGGTTTTGCTGGTTGTAGGTTCTTGTTGGCCAGCCCACTGCCCCTGCCACCACGCCAGCCCGGCCATGGAGCGCTCTGCTTCTCCCACGCTGTTCCGCTGGCACTCCTGCCCG